TCTCACGTTTCTACTAAACTTGAGAACAAGCAAAATCGTGGGTGGCAACGTATTCCAATACATGAGAGATAACTGTCCTTGAGATTTTTAGTACAAAGTATCACAGCCTTGGAAATAGAACTAATTACCTGTAGTGTTCAGTTATACGGCTATCATTATTGTTCTCGGGTCAAAAAAGTTACTCTTGCACCTTTCTTTATTGGCTTTCAAGCAAATGCTGTGCATTTCTAGAACGAGGAGAAGAAGAAATATCATAAAGAGGGATTGGTTTTCTCTTCAGGTCAGAAGACAGCAATGTGTCAGGCGATTTATTGTCACAGTTACTACTTTACTTGAAGATCCTTGACAAAGAGAAACAATTAAGCAACAATTTCCGCTAAAAATTCTGGACATTATCTAAAACTGTTAGTAACGATTTGACTGAACACTGGGTAGGAAGTAACTAGTATTCAACCAAAGTATCTAGTATAGTCCTACATAAAGGTCAGTTGTGAGCACGAATAGCTCAGTGGTTACATCTCTGACTGGAGCATTGGATGACATAGATTTGAATCTCAGAGGGGATATGACTTCCTTCAAGGCGGTTGCAGATATGCCTTGCTGACTTGTGAGTGCCAACATGCACGAAAACTAGGTCAGGCTGGGCTTCTTGCCGATTGCCTCCAACCAACTAATAATACCATAGCTTGCATAAAGGTGAAGAAAAAGGCTAATATGTCCCCTAATGATTAATTTTAAATCGCTATTCAATTTTCTATTATATATTATTATGAACTATTGATGTCAATATGAAACCCTTATAGAACAAACACCAGCTCTTGTTGATTTTTGATTAACCTGACTGTTTTTGAAAAATTTAAAGTACTATTAGAAAAGTTGAAAGTTTATTCAAAAAGACGTGAAACCTTGCAAATTATCAGAGAAATTGTACGTTTGATTTGTGTACAAAAGAATTTGTTAAAAAAGCGTTTAAATTAGGCACACTTTTTAATGGCAGCCAATCAGATTACACTTAGTCATAATGGCGGGTTGTTTAATGCAGATAAACAATTTCTTATTGAAATTCAATTTTCACTTTTATATTCACCTGAATGCAATCGTTTTATTTCACTTAGCACTAACAACACTTAGACTGGAGTTATTTCTTTTATTGCTTCCTACCTTGTTTAATTTTATCATACGATTTAAGTTTCATTATGCATCAGTGGCTCAAGGGTAGATTGCTCGCCACCCACCCACGTGGTCTAGAGTCCGATGCCCGGCTGGCTCACTCCAGAACAGCGCTGAGTCGGTAAAAAGGCCGGTAAAGAGGGAAGGTTGAGCGTAAGGCTAACAACTCCACCCATACAAATAAATAAAACCACACTGCTACCGAAACTTCAAAGCTCAAACCTGAAGCCCCATGTTTTACTCGGGATGTAAAAGAATGAGACAATAATAACTGAAATTTCAGCTGTGGTCCAGTAGCAGAATGCTTGCCAGCTACGCGGGAGGTTGGCTGGGTTCGATTCCCCGCCGAAGAAAACTCCTAAACCCCACCTAGTTTGCTTGCTGATATTAAACCGGGAAAATTAGGAAGAGTAAGGCAGTAGGCCAGCCATCTCACGCTGCAAACAGAGACAACACTGTCGCTAATGAAACTTCAAGGCTTGTAGCTCTATGTCTCACTCAAAGGGGAAAGGAATGAAGAAAAAGAAGAGGAAGAAACAATCGTTTTTTCGCTAAATTTAAAGTGAAGAGATAAATCAGTCAAAAAGGAGGATGACTTCACTTCACTTCACTTCAAAGATTAGGATTAATTACTCAAAAATAAAAAAATTAGTTATTAGCCTTTAATCAAATACAACTTTTTACTCTCTTTGACGATCGAATAAGGAAGGCTTATCACAAGGGTAGAGATAATACATATACGCATATACATATATTCAAGTGTTGGTTTGCAGGGATTTGATCGATTTCTGACCTTCATCATGGACTGACATCGGTTAGAGAACCGCTGGAAAGCCTGGAAGTGCTGGACAGTTGTTTCGTCCTGGCCTGGGACTCTTCATCAGTACGCACCAACCTCCAGGCTACAAGTAAAGCTTCTTGAGCATTCCGCCAGTTGGACACAACTCAGTGACCAGCCCATGAATCCCAACTTCTATTAATTCGTGAGCTCAATGCTACTGACCACCGGCCAATGTCATTGGCGAGTATTAGCCTTTCGCACCCAGTCGGCTGTACCCCACTGTATATATATATATATATATTAAAGTTATGTCACTAAAATAAGCTACGCGAAAGGATGAGTTTCCGAAAGTTATTATTAATTGTTACTGCTGTTATTCAATGAATGCATAGTAGAATGATAAATGATTCAAATAACAAAACAAAGCAAACAACGGAAGATAATCAGGAACGGAAGAAATTGAGGCATAACATAATGAATGAATTATGTGAAGGACTTAAAATAATGGAACCGAACATAAGATCAAATAAAACACAGGAAGGATTGGAATTTGAAGGTGAACAAAAATGAGATCTTTAGATTGAACTGATACAATCTGAACATGAAGTAGAAAAGGAAACAATTACCATAGAATTTAATGTTTTGCTTCAGTGATTTAGAGGTAGAATGTTTGCCAACCACGCTACATGTGGTCATGGGTTCGAACCCGAGTCGACGCACTCCTTAACCAGTAGTGAGCTTGGTAAAGAAGGAAGATTGGGCATGAGACTAGCAACTTCACCCTGTAAAAATGAAACCATCGCTAATGAAACTTCGAAGCTTAAGGCTGAAAGCCCTATGTTCCACTTGGAACGCAAAAGAATAAAGAATGAATTGAATGGTAATGAGTGAAGGTGAAATGAGTAGCATGAGGGGGATGGTAGTAGGATTCGAGGTAAGCAGCCTCCTGACTACTAGCTGATCGGTCTACAAGCTTAATTATGGGACCGATCTAGTAACCAGACTATCATTTAATTGCAATCATCATTACAGGTTATGCTTAGCTGTCACTGTTAATGACTGATAAATAACTCTGCATTTATTATCACTCACTCCATCAGCTACATCAGCCACAATTTTTCTATCCTATCAATTGTAATAATACGAGACTATAGAGGGATGAAAGCAGCTTGCTCATTGGTTGAGTGTTTATCTGAGATGGCTGTGGATTGACAGACTACTGCTGTTGATAACTAAAGTAGTCACGTATTACGTCAATAGTATAATCTATTAATCCAAGGCCATCTTAGATTATCTCACGAAAAAACAAACAGTATCATCTGACAATTTTGATAGCAACTGAATTTTGATCATATAGATGCAAGTTTTATCTACTATGACAGTTGTTAATTTGAAATGATACCAGTTAGAGAAACATTGGAAAAGCAGGGAGTACTGGACAGATGTCTCATCCAAGTTTGGGACTCTTCACGGTGCTCACCCACAGGGGTTCGAATCAAGCTCGTAGACTATTCAGTTATTTGGACTCTATCCAATAGCCAGCCCATGAATTCCAACTTCTGCCAATTTGCGAGATATATATGGCCCAACTACGAGCCATTTTCATAGGCGCGTAAATGCTCTCCCTACTAGAACTCCACGTAGCTTTCTGTATGCAGCCAGTTACTAGTGAGTATCAGATGAATTATCGTGTGTTCTTTCGCGAAGATACGGCTGGTTACAGGTAAGAAGTCGCAACCAGCAGGGTTCAACAAAGTCAGCTAAGAAAAAAGTTACTCGCATTGGCTGACAGTTGAGCTATATGTCGCGAGTTGGCAGAAATTGAAGTTCATAGGCAGTTGGGTCGGGTCCAAGTGACTGAATGAGTCTGCCAACTCACCTTGTTACCAGAAGATCGTCGGTTCGAACCCCTGGGGGTGCGTGCCACTGAAGAGTCTCAAAATAGGGTGAGGCAGCTGTTCAGTACTCCATGGTTTTCAGTGGTTCACTAGCCTATGTCAGCTTATGATCAAACCTGTAACCGGTCAAATCCCAGTGAACCAACACTTGATTATTTGAAATAAACAGAAATTCACTTTAGCCGTGAAACTTGTTAGAATGCGTGAAAATGTCTCCCTTTTCTACAAGTACATATTATTCAATATGGAAATTCAAATTATTGTATACAGAAATATCTCTATTTGGACCATAGGCATTTACTACTGAAGAGTCTCAAATTGGGACGAAATTATTTTAGGCGTTTTCAATAGTTCTCTGCCTGATTTCATTTCGTGATCTAATTTAAAGTGAAAAAGCTGTCAACTGAATTCGTCTAATTTCTTCAATTCTTCTTATGTATTTTATCCGAATCAGTAGTAGCTGAGTGGTAGTTATGATTTAATACCCTAAATCCATCCTATTTTGTAACTCTTGGTCTGGGAGTGTTTTCTAACTTAAATCTTTTCCCACTAGTTATTGTATATTACAGAAGTGATACTATGTATATGTGGTAAATGGAGTGGTCTCATAACCTGAATATCCTGCTTGGATATTCAGTGTGTCATGTGTGCTTACTCATGGATAGCCACAAACCAGGGCTATACAGCCATCCACTACACCGTGATTCCTAATGTCTCTCTGTGTGATGCTATTTCGAGGTTGAACTTGAGATGTAATACTGTATAGACTTATTACTATTCCCTTAGGTTCCAAGGGGAAAATAAGCCTTCAACAGCACGTCTCCGTTTCATCCTGTTCTAAGTAGCCATCTTTAGCTGGCTCCATGACTGACTATATGCTATTTGATGGTCTTCTCACACGACCTTCTTCATGTCATCTTCGGACGTCCAACTTGTTGTTTCCCTTTCAGGTTCTGTGCTTGGTCCTTAATTTCAAATCGCATTTGCTTCTCTCCTAAAAATAACATTTATGCTATTGAGATAGTTGTATAGTGCCAATATTATAAATCTTCTAACATCTTTTTTTCTTTCCACGGAATTATTTGTAACATTTAATTTTGATGTCGCCTATTGTATTCTTTTTTTTTTTCTTTTTTTGGTTTTCTGTTTAGCTCCAGAAGTGCTAAGTGTCAGTGAAGGGAATTCAGGTTATGGTAAAGAAGTCGACTGCTGGGCTATTGGAGTGATTGCCTATATTCTGTAAGTTTTAATTCGTTACTAATTAATTGTTCTGTTTTTCTTTGAGGCGACAGAATAATGTCTGCTAATATTTTGCTAAAATAATCTTTGAATTTTGTGGTGTTTAAAAAAGATCTTAGCAAATTGCTTATGTGGCTCAAAAGTATTTATTATTCTTTTTGGGTTCCGATTGGAACATCGATCTTCAACAACACATCTCCATTTTACCCTGTCCCCTGTATTCTTTTTCATTTGGCTCCATAATTGCTCATGAGCCTTCATTTCCTACTCAAACGATCTCCTCCAAGTCACTCTCTAACTCAAGGTCAGCCGGTTGCTACCTATTAGGGATACACTCGAGCTGTGGCGTGGCGTAAGATGTCATTCAACGGTCTTCAGTCCATCTCCACTCTCTTCGGAATATTTGTTGATCAACTGGTTCTTGGTTGGTTGATTGTCTGACAGTGTTACCTGTTACTGATCTTTTCTGACCGGCAGTCAGAGAAGTTAGCTGTTGATAATACTCTGCAGCTAATTACTGGAAATGCTTTTCGTGACGTGTTAAGTTTCTGACCCTACAGTATACTTGAGCAAATATCATAAGTGACAGTATAGAATACGTCATTAGTTCGATTTTTGTTACAATATAGCAGTAGCTGAAATTACCTGGTCACCTAGATATTGATTATATAAGTTTAGCAGGTATTAGTCAGCGTATGCACTTTAAAAAAACTAATGAACCATGCCATAAGGAAGGGACATTTGAAATCTTACGTAAAATTCTTAATAACTCTGGAATTACGGTGACATGTAAACCCATAGGCTCAATCGGAGACAGATTTTATTGGATTGAGAAGAACAAGAAGTTCAGCAAAGATATCTTTTCGGAGATTTCATTCTCAAGAGCTGTACAATCGCATTTATATAGATAAGTTTACATGGATACAATTCTTATTTGTTTAATTCCACATAGTAACGAAGGTGATAATAATTTTCAACCTGATATGAAAGTTTGAAGGTACGAATATAGATTACAAGGGGCTTAGAGACAAGATTGCATAGGATTAGATAACAGTTACAACGTATGCAAAATTAATATTTGATAACTGGAGAAATAGTTTTAAAGGCGAATAAAAGGTGACAATTATTTTCAACTTGATATGAATTACAAGAGGCTTAGAACGAATTACAGGTGTGAACAAAATGAGCATGGAAACAAATTGAGGTCAAAATTTTCAACCTGAAATGTAAGTTAGGAGGTGTGAATATAGATTACAAGAGGCATAGAAACAAAAAATTACACAAGATTAGAATATAATTGTAAAATGGTTATTCTAAACGGATTACAAGTGTGATCAGGAGGAGTATGGGAACGAACTTAAAATAACTGATTTTATAACTGAAAAAAATGGGATAAATTAAATGAAGGTAAAGAGAGAAAATTACATACACAGATAACAAAACAAAAAAACTGAAGGATAAGGGAACATACCAAACTAGGTCCATGGTAGTTGTAAAGGCTGGACTAGTTTCTTTTGAACACATACCTCCGGCTTTTCGATGCATATGGCGCGAGCCTCCGCAGTACAATGAAGTCGAAAGCACACTATCTTCGGCAGATTTTTGTTTACTTAGTAGATGACTCTAAATGATGAGTCGGTTGAGATTCTGTGACAAGTATTGACTAGATGTTCAGTTATTGCGCTTCTGATTGAACCAGTGCCTCCTCTTTGCAGACATGCTGGATGATGTTCTCTAACACGTTTTGATAAGACCCGCATAGAAAGACCTATGTACCTAGCTCCGCAAGAGCAGGTGAACTGATATATGCACATTGAAGTGGTCATATGCGGAAGTTTGTCCTTCCCGTTGCTCCGAGGTAGTGGGCGGCTAGAGAATATCACTCTTAGAGTTGCTGCCGGAAAAGTCTTCTTCAGAGATTTGGAGATTCTCCTTTATCTATATAAATGCGATTGTACAGCTCTTGAGAATGAAATCTCCAAAAAGATAAAATAAACTGAATCTACCGGATACCATGCAATAACTATGCAGTCAAATGTATAAGTCAAACGAAGGAGAATAGGATCAGTTAGCTAGTTTAACAGAACAGAAATTTAGCAAGCTGTAGAATGACGAACCTTGCTAAACAGTCTAGAGGGAAACTGATTCATCCTTGCTATGCATGTGCCTGAATGATATCTCGTACAATCAAGTAGGATAGGATGAAAGTATTAGAAAGTAATATAGTTAAGTGGAGTAGGAGAAGGAGTAATCCTGGATTCTTTGTTCATCGGACCAACAACCAACACGTGTAGTAAGAATGACGCAATACGCAATGATAAGTCGTTGGCTGACGATAGAAGACACATAGATATTAATAAATGTGTCCAAACACTAGTTCAATCGTAATCCTGTCCTATAGCAATGATATGTCTTATATCGTCAACCTTAATTATTTAACTAACGAAGAGTATCAAATATGATGAGTAATGTCGTGCGTTACTTTATTGTTTATCTATACTTTGAAATGTTGCCATATGTGTTGTGCGTGAGAAATCTGCCTCGGGTAAATAAGTCCTACAGGTGTAAAACTTGGGTAATGTAATAGTATTATGTAATCCCAGATTAATTTGTTAAGTGGATGTATCACACAGTGAAACAATACTACTTATTGGATAACAAAGTTCCGAAAACAATTTATTCTTCATAATCATTTCATGAAATTGCAACTACACAACTTCGAAACTTTCGTTTTATAGTTTTCTTTCTTTCTTCCTTCCTTCCCCATCTGTCGTAGGGGTAGTAGAATTTTCCAGATGTCTGGGTGGACAGGTGTTGAATCATTCCTATTGCACGTGTTTGCAGTTGATCCGATGAATAAAGCTTCAGTCATCAATCCCACCCATTCTATTGTATGGTTGTGTGTAACTGCATGTAGTGAGTGCTACAGCTGAACTATTCTCCAGATTTCTTATCTTATCTGGGTCAACTAACCTAGATTTTGCTCCGCTAGTCTGACTGCCCCTGTTCTACTACTTTGACCTATGTATCTGACCTGCAAGTCATTCCCGCAGGATATTAGATGCACTAAATTGTTTTGTTTAATTGGCTCCACAGGATCCTTTAACCCACATAATTTGTTTCTAAGTGGGTTTATGGATTTCAGTGCCATTTCTATTCCTCTATGGTTAGGAATTCCATGGAAGGTTTCAGAGGTCCCTTCTTTGTATGGAAGTACTACTGATAATTTAAAATTCTTATTGTTGGTGTGGTCATCTTTCTGTATACGATTCTTATGCATGTTGTCCATATTATTGTTATTATCATTACTATTATTAATTTTATATTTACAATTTCCTATATACTTCGTGATTGATTTATCGGGATAATTATTCGATTTTAGAGCTTCTCTTATATGCCTGACTTTCTCTCTTAGATTTTCTTTGGGACTATTTAGTTTTTTTTTGCCCTATTACTTAAACATTTCACTAATCCTATTTTTACTGACATAAGGTGAGATGAACTGAAGTTCAAATATTGGTTTAAATGTGTGGGTTTCTTTTTTTGTAAACACAAGTGTTTGACTTGGCATTAATAACGGAAGCTTTATTTATCGAACCAAGTGGGAATGTGTGCAGGGGAAAGGATTTAACACCTGTCCACCCGAACATATGGAAAATTCCACTACCCATACGACAGATGGGAAGGAAGAAAGGAAGAGAACTATAAAACGAGAGTTTCGAAGTTCTGTAGTTGTAATGTTATGAAATGATTATGAAAAATAAGTTGTGTTTGAAACTTTGTCACTGTATGGTATATCTAATTAAAATATTAATGTGGAATAACTAGGTTCTAATTAGTGGATACGTGGCTGGCTGACACAAGTACTCAAGCTTGAGTCTATTACTCCTGGATTTTAATCCTAGTCCACCTACTTTAATTTGATCGACAGCCACCAAACAATCTGTGTCTGGCAGTAGTTTTCATATTCCTAATCGTAGTGGACTAGGCATTGGGAGGGAGAAGACAGGAATACGTTGGACCAGTAATATGACTCTAGAAGATCTTGACTTTGCGGAAGTATTATGTCTTATGCCATACAAACTTGACAACTTACAGACGAAAACCAACGTATTGGCAGAAGAAGCAGTCAGCGGTGACAGAACCTCAGGCGAACATAGAGAAGACAGAGGTGATGAAGATAACCAACTAACGCCAAGCACTAAACGCTGTCAACAAGAGAAATTCGAAAGACGTCACTTCCTTCACTTATCTCACCTGGGCAGCATCGTTTCAAATACAAGAGGATGGCGCGGATGAGGATGTAGGAACTAGAATCGGAAAGGCAAGACACACCCTTGTCACTCTGAAATCAGTTCCTAAATCTTTTCAATTCAGCACAAGAAATAAAATTCTGATTTTAAACACTAGTGTTAAGCCAGTCCTTCTATAAAGTTCAAAAACTTAGCGACTGAGTCCAGAATAGCATTTTCATTAGCTGGCTTCATACCGAAGAAGATATCATGGCAGGCGACGAACCAAGTGAAAACGTAATGATCGACAAGAAAATGAAGATAGGTAGGATAGACTCTGAAGAGGCGTTAAGTGACGTCGCTCCAGTGGAACCCGAATGGGAAACGACAAGTTGCGTGTTAGTCTGATAGCGACACTGAGGAGGTCGTCTGAAGAGAAAATGAAAGCCCATGGGCAATCATAGGATCAGCTGAAGAGGTCTACAGAAAGCAAGATGAAATGGAGATGTGTTGTTGTTCCACTCGTAACTCAAGGAGAAAATAATATTTAGTTGCTGTGGTGGATATTTTCATTGTTATTATGTTCACTGCATAGGCAGACATCTATCCTATTCTAGAAATTAAATATTGTTTTCAGGTTTTGTCTACCGACACTTAGAAAAGTGAATCTAATTGGAAATTTATGGTACTTGAAAGCGGAAAATTATATAAGAAATCAGTTCTCATTCTTCTTTCCTGATTTTTGTTAATTTTTAAATAATTTTGCTTTCTTGACTGAAATATCTCTATACATATATAAATTTCAGACTTTGTGGTTATCCTCCTTTCTATGATGAAAATGATCATGAACTGTTTCGACAGATTCGTATGGCAGAATATGAATTCGACTCACCATATTGGGATAATATATCAGATTCAGGTAAGTATCAATTAAACACTTGACGTTACTATTTGTATCACAAAATAGTTGCTGTTTTACCTAAATGATAATTACAATTGTCTGATTTTGTTTCAGTGTTGTAGATTTACTTTTTTCACTATTATATGAAACTGTTCTCAGCCACGCTCCTGCTCGGGGTTCGATTCCCAACCGACTTACTCTTAAATCTTACTTAGCCCGGTTAAGAGGGAAGGTTGGACTCGTAAAAGAAAACACCACCACTACTGAAACTTCAAAACGCAAAGGAATGAAAACAAAAAATTATCAAGACGGCTGATGAAAATAAAATGTCACCTTTAATGTGATTGGTTATGCGAGCAAACGACTGACTCATTGACCTTGAAGCGACCAATCAAAATAAACCAGGCTAGTCTGTGTTTGAAAATCAGTATATTTATGAAAAGAAATATATCAAAGAGTGTAAGAATATTAAGCAGGTCCCCTACCTTGGAATACTGCAAGATTAACACCTAGTTTCTCATAGGAGTCGCGATAGTCAACCAAGTAACTATCATTTAAATTCCGGGAGGTAGAATAACAGGATAAGATCTAAGGTGGAGTGTTTTCGTTTTGCGTTTTAGTCATGTTTTCTAGGTTGAATCCACATGGGTGAATCTTGTCATTATTAAACACTGTTTCTTCATTCTAACTGCATTATCGCCTATGTGAAATCTGATTGGCTACTTCAAGGTCACTGAGTTGGTTGTTTGCTTCGATCACTATTGTTTTACCGCGTATACTGAAAAATCAAGACGGAAATGATTGTATGCTTCACTTCTACTTTTAATAATATTATTATAATAGTATAACACGATTTGTTTCATTTATGGCCACGGATTGAAATCAGCCAGAGAACCACTGAAAACCAGGGACAGAAGTGTCGTCCTGGTTTGGGGCTCATCGGCAGTACGGACGCAGGACCTTCCAGTTGCAAGGCGAGTTCATACACCATTGATCCACTGAGAGTGAATCCTATGCTCTGTGAATTCCAGTTTCTGCCAGTTCGTGATTTTAGTGCGACCTACCAACAGTCAATGTCAACATCGAGTATCTGTCCTCACTCACGACCACTGGTTTTCAATGGTTCTCTAACTGATATCAATCCGTGATCAACTCTTTGAAAAAAAAACTCCAGTAACGCATACCACAGCTACCTATTTTCACAACCCGCCTTAAGCTAAAACGCACAACGACATGACATGGGAAGTAAAAGTGTTAGTATGAGTATATTTAGAAAATGAAACAATAGTATATATATATATATATACATGGCCAATAACGTAGGCGTGAGCGATATCCACAAAATCATGTGTAACCACCTACGGTTTATTTCCAGACTGACCTTGATCACCATATCATCCATAAAAACATAATCCATTGTTTATCTGTCTACATATCAGAATCTTCGTTAACCACTCAAGTGGTTTGTGTTCGACTCCCGGACGATTTATTTATAGACTTCGCCTAGCTTATTAGGTGGTAGTGGGCTCAGAAAATGGGGGAGTTTTGAGCGTGGGAGTAGCAACAGACTTCATAAAGCATATTTATCTTAATTACTTATCTTTTCCTATAGCCTCCTGTAGAGACTAAAATCCAATCAACTTTCGATATCAGAGTTTATAATCGCTTTACTGAAATAATTCTTCACAAGTCATTTTTTAATAATAATAATAATAATTTGCTTTATTCCTAAACAGTACTTGTGATACAGAATGGAATTCTCAGCATTTTTACTACAGTATTGCATCCAGTTAGTACATTATCTTCTATAGTTTGGTTTGTAAGGATTAGTTATGTTTTACGAGTTGATCACGGACTGATATCAGTTAGAGAACCATTGAAAACCAGGGAGTACTGGTGCGTACTTCCGATGATGCCCGAACGAGGATGAAACAGCTGTCTGGCAGTACTCCAGTGCTGGTTTTCAATGGTTCTCTAACTGATATCAGTCCGTGATCAACTCGTAAAACATAACTAATCCTTACAAACCAAACTATAGAAAATTATTCTGATGCTCGCTAGTGACTTGCTGCAGGTTGGAGCTTCCTGCAGTTCTAGTGAGAAGTCGTGACCAGTGAGGTGCAATTAGAAGTCACGTGTGTGGATGGATGTCCCACCAACGACAATAGTTGGGGTCGCGCTAAATCACGAATTGGTAGAAGTTAGAATTCATGAGCCATTGAATCGGGTCCCAGCGGCTGAATGGTATACGAGCTTGCCTTGTAACCGGAAGGTCCTGTGTTCAAACCCTATTGTGGGGTGGGTGTGTACTATTGATGATTCCCAAACCAGGACGGAGGAAACAGCTTTCCAGTACTCCCTGGTTTTCAGTGGTTCTCTAACTGATATCAGTCCGTGATCAACTCGTAGTACATTATCAATAAATAGAATTCTACATAGATTAAGGAAATCTCAGTTCATTATGAAAACAACAAATTGGCATATCGGTAGCAAAGCTAAAGTTGAACAGTGTTTGAAGGTGTTAGAAAAGTAGGTGCTGTCATATTTACTGGCGTAAGCGGAAGAAAGAAACAAAGTGGCACATAACGGAAAGAAAAAAAAGAAAAAAAGAGAGAGATAGAAAAGGAAAAGAAAGAAAGAGAATGTTGTACTTATAAATGATATGAGTTGGAAAGACGAGGTCCAGTTGTACTACTGACTATTTAATGAATTATAGGTGTCACGCCTAATGCTTTCTTTATCACACAGAACACAAGCTAAGTAGGGTATGGTTGAGTTTTTGTACTTGCTGGTGCGAGCATATAGTTTTCTATATAGACTTCTGGTTTTGCTTGATGAGATGATGTAATCCAATTTGAGTATTTCGATAATCACTGAAAATACCCATTGAGTCATAAAGAAAATAAAAGACAAAAATCAGCGAAGAAAAGTTCCTTTATCGACAAAATCATCTTCACAGGCTGTACTGTACAGTCCTATTTATATTTACCAAAAAAGAATAGTGGTCTATCAGGGAGTAATAGAGGTTCGACATAACTGGTATCATTACTCAAAAGTGGCTTTAGAAGTGAAAATTAAAAGTTGTAAATTATGTGGTACTCACTGGCACAAAGATAGAAATTTGATAAGGTTAAAATTTCTATTGATTGAGAATAAAGGTAGTTGAGTGTCCAAGTGTGAACAAGTGTGAAGAGGGTGTGAAAATGTACAAAGGGAACATATGAGAGTGATAATAGTGAATTAATTATTAAAGCAAAAGCAAACTAAAAGTAAGATTAAAAATTAAAAAAAGAAAAGAAAAAATCAAAATTTTTTACAGGGAAGGACTAGTGAAGAGGTTAAGACCAAGGTAAAATAAGTGACTGGACAAACTCTTCCTGGATACAGAGTTCGGGGTTGTATTGACGAATTGACAGCGCCTCTGTTGTACACAAATGCCAAAAACTGACCCCTCTTTGTACCATTTGGCCTCACCTTGTAGATGATGTTGAAAGACGACTCTGGTGGACCTACATGGCTTGAGTTCACCAAGTGCTCGAGAATTGAGCTAGTAATTGTCTTGCATTGTCCTTTTGCTAACGATGCCGGATAATGTTCAGAGATGCGTTTGGAAAGTGTGCACTTTGTGCGGCCAATATATGGAATCTCTTGAAAAGTTTTTAAGCCAGCTAAAAAAGACAGAAAGAAATAGAATATAACGAAGCCTTTTATCTTCCACCCTGAACTCAATGGAGGGATAGTATAAATAACTTATTCTAATTTTAACTATCATCCAGGCGGCCTGTTGGAAAACTTCGGCTACCCGAATAGCACACCATCATATTACATATCACTTCTCGTATTAAGTTTGCGGCCAGTATAACTAGCCGGTTAATACATAAGAAAAGGTTTGTCCAGTCACTTATTCTACCTTGGTCTTAACCTCTTCACTAGTCATTCCCTGTAAAAAGATTCTATTTTTAATTTTCAATTTTACTTTTAGTTTGCTTTTACTTTAATAATTAATTCACTATAATCACTCTCATATGTTCCTTTCATACATTTTCACACCCTCTTCACACTTGTTAAATTGACACTCAGCTACCTTTATTCTCACTGAATAGCAATTTTAACCTTATCAAATTTCTAACTTTGTCCCGTTGAGTACCACGTTATTTACAACTTTTATTTTTTACTTCTAAAGCCACATCTGAGTAATTATATCAATTATGTCACCCCCCTATTACTCACTGATAGACTACTATACATTTTCGGTAAATATAAATACGACTGTACAGTACAGCCTCTGAAGATGATTTCGTCGATAAGGAAACTTTTCTTCTCTGAATTTGTCTTTTATTTCGATAACTTTAGAAAAGTAGAAATAGAACAGAAAACTTGAACAGCTAGTTGCCTTTATGAATTTCGGCAAAACAATAAGAAAACGTAATTCATTTGAATCTCGTGTAATTGTATTTGCGCAACACATTTCCAACAGTCTGATAACACATATACTTGTCATAGCAATATATATGTAACAACAGAAGGCAAGGGTCAGGCAACAGATCATTTATTAAGGAAATCAACGCATATTTATATATTTGCATGTACATTACTATGGATATTTAAACAAACAAACACAGTCTTCCGATTGGTTGTTTCTCACGTAAAGTTAATCTTTCATCTATTTGTGACTGTTTCTTGAATGTCAAATCCTCTATATGTTAACTGCATCCGCCTTCGCAAAGTCTGCTGTGGTCGGTTTTGAATCAATCTTTGTTCACATTTTCTCACGACAAGTCTTGGGAACGTTAATATTGACGTAAATTACTGTCTACCAATTTGGCTAGTAGACAGCTCTCACCACATATATACACATAAAAATGAAGCGTTGAGAAGTAAAGGTCAAAATAACAGTGGAGATCAATAAGCCAAAGAAGGGAGATACTAGTTCATCTGTTTTGATATCCAAACAAAGTTTACCAAAGAATGTTTATAATGTGATGATGACAAATTGTTTTTGAACACATAAAGGTGATTTAAACTTCCTAATCACTAAGGCTTCTATACACTTTGGGATCCGCTGTAAACGCGTTTTATAGATAAGTTTAATAGATGTGTGTGTGGGGGGGGGGGGTTGTAAACACCAGTTTTATTGTCCTGTCTCTATAATATGTTTCACAACAGAACAGCTGGGTCATCTGAACAAACTTAAGCTGAAACGCACAACGACATGACATGGGAAGTAAAAGTGTTAGTATATTTAGAAAATGAAACAAAAGTATATATATATATATATACATGGCCAGTAACGTAGGCGTCAGCGATATCCACAAAATCATGTGTAACCACCTACGGTTTATTTCCAGACTGACCTTGATCACCATATCATCCATAAAAGCATAATCCATTGTTTATCTGTCTACATATCAGAGTCTTCGTAAACCACTTAAGTGGTTTGTGTTCGATTCCCGGACGATTCATTTTTAAACTTCGCCTAGCTTATTAGGTGATAGGCGGCTCAGAAAATGGGGGAGTTTTGAGCGTGGGAGTAGCGACACACTTCATAAAAGATATTTATCCCAATTACTTATTTTTTCCTATTGCTTCCTATAAAGACCACAAATCTATCAACTGTCGACATCGGAGTTTATGATCCCTTTACTGAAATAATTCCTCACAAGTCATCTTTTCATAGTGATATAATCCAATTTGAGTAGTTCATAACTTTAGAAAAATAAAAAATAAAAGTGAAAAAATTAAATTGCCTTTTATATGTCGAAACCAAGTTCACTTTTGATAGTTTGAAAAAATTTGGGCAATGGGTATATGATATTCATTGTAGTAATAAAGGTTTTTTGTATTTCCCTAAAGATTCTCTATCTAATTGTGCCTACAAAATGAAATGCTTGGAATGTGATGCCATATACATCGGACAAACATCGCGAGAAATCAAAACCAGAAGAAATGAATACCGTAGACTCGACTCTTTTCGACCACCGAGAAATCCATTTGAAAAGCTTGAAAAATCATCAGCCACAAGTCGTCTACATGCTATATAATCATGCCACAAAACTGATTTTGACAATATTGAAATAATCCAGAAAAAGCATTTCAGAAACCATAAAGAACGTCTAATATCATCAGAAGGACTTCATATTAAATGGAATCCAAATTGTCTGAATAAGAATGATGATGGATTAAAACAGAATTTCACCTGGTTACAACACTCTCGCCCTCCTCCATGAAATGACAAAATCAACACAAATGTGATAAGCAGTTTCATTATGTAAACACACACTGCTTTTATATAATTTTATACACTTATGAAATCCAACAATCTACACCTGGTATTGTTATCTTTACCAATTGGCTAATTTGACAACGTAGAAATAACCCCATGCTGAGGAACGATGATTAAGTTGCTTGATATATAAGCTGAGATTTTGTAAAATCTGGTTTATTAGCATTGAACAGCGAAACGTCAGTAAAAACAACAATATAGCTTTGTTTTTTTATTTATTGGAAAATACAAAAAACCTTTATTATAATTAGTTCCCTTTATGAATTTCGACAAAACAATAAGAAGACGTAATTCATTTGAACCTCGTGTAATGTGTATTTGCGGAACACATTTCCAACAGTCTGATAACACCAAAGAATGTTTATGATGTGATGATGACAAACTGTTTTTGAACACATAAAGGTGGTTTAAACTTCCTAATCACCAAGGCTTCTACACACTTTGGGATCCGCTCTAAACTCGTTTTATAGATAAGTTCAATAGGTGGGGGAGGGGTTGTAAACACCAGTTTTATTGTCCTGACTCTATAATATGTTTCACAACAGAACAGCTAGGTCATCTGATTCAAATTTTTCATGTTTCTTTTTCAGCTAAAGATTTTATTCGTCATTTATTACAAAAAGATCCTAAAAAGCGTTATAGTTGTACACAAGCATTGGAACATCCATGGATAGCTAGTAATACAGCACTTGATAGGGATCTTTATCCATTTGTCAGTGAACAAATACGCAAGAACTTTTTAGCTGTAAGACGGTGGAAGGTAAGTCTTGTACAATAATTATTATTATTATGATTCAAAGTAGTCATTGTTTTCAAGTGTTGTTCTTCTTCAGGGATTTTATTGGTTTTGAGTTAGATCACGAGGTGATATTAGTTGGAGGACTGTCAGAAACCAGGAAGTAGTGGACAGATATTTCGTCCAAGTTTGCGACTGTTCATCAGCACGCACTCATGATCCTTTGGAGGAACCCATCAGATACCTTCAAAGCAAAGGTTGAAAATCAATCTTATGCTCACTGGTGACTGACTGCGGGATGAAGTTGCCTGGAGTTGTAATGAGAAGTCATGAGCAGTTGGGTTCACCAAGTCGTGTGTGTGATGGGAGATACTCTCTGATGACACTGGCTGGCTGTCAGTGGTGCTATGTTGTTCTTGTTATTAGATGGTTGGAAGCAATCGATAGTGAGCCTTAGACCTAGGTCTCATGCTTGTTGGCACTCACCAGTCAACAAGGCATATCTAAATCTTTACAGATTCGGACCCATGCTACCCGGTGAACAATGATGGCGAACCACGTAGCATGATAGTCATATTGTAAACTTCACTGGTACGACTGAATCTTCATTAAACAAAGGGTTAGATAAATTACAACAGTTAATAACTAGTGTCTAATCAAAGTATCTAATACAATCCTACAGGAGGTCAATAGCGAAACCTGAAAGGCTCAACAGTAACTTCTCTGACTGCAGGCGGCACTCAGTGACTCTGGTTCGAATCCCAGAGGGGATATGAATTTCTTCACCATAGCAGATATGCCTTGTTGACTGTTGAGTGCTAAGAAACATAAGACCTAGGTGGAAGGCTTCCAGCCGATTACCTCCAACCATCTGATAACAACAATTCACTGTGTACATTGCAAACTTGACTGATAGAATACAGTCTTCTCCAAAAAAAGGGCTAGACGGATGACGCTAATTACTATTACCTAGTAATTACATCGACTGAGATGGTTAGGACATGTGTTACACATGCATGCCTAGCCATCGCCTTCCTCGACGGGCAATGTTGGCTGACAAGGGGTCAGGTTGGAAAAGAGCCAGTGGTGGTCATGCCAAAACAAGGTTTCATCAGTCAATGAAATCCACAACAATTAGTTTAAGCTACGTAGAAAGGTATAGACTTCTGGTTGGGGTGCACGGGACGGTAAAAACCAATGGCTGGAGACAGTTGTTGATATGACTCAAAATCGTTCTCAATAGCACAGATGCACCCACTCTTTGTGACTTATAATACCCAGTAAAACTATATTATTCTTTGATATTACTGCCTCTACTTTTGCACTCCTTTTTACTTTATTCTCTTGCTTTGTGTGCTACATAGAGTGTGGCGACTCGAACTGCTGCACATCGGTGCAAAGTTCTATGTTGAAAACAGAGGGACAGACAGACAGTCATTACCTAGTGTTCAACCAGAGTGGTGCTATATGTCACTTATCGACAGTAGTCAGAATTCGTGGCCATTGGTTACCATCCCAGTGATTGAATAGTGAACGGGCTCACCTTGTAATCTGAAGGTCCTTAGTTCGATCATGCGTACGGTATCATACGTACTCATTGCCGAAGAGTCGCAGACTAGAATTTGACACCTACGCATTACTTCCTCGTTTCCAATGGTTCTTTAACTAATTCGTTGTCGGTATTCTGCAATTCGGAAACATCATTGCTCAGGGAATACATTCGCGTTGACTAAATAAAAAAACTTAAAAAAACTAGGAATTGGTATTCTATTATACACACCTGCACTTACTAAAGAAGTACCCAATTCCGCCACTCAGTTATAATTGTAGTTTCCAAAAGGATAAATTATAGTAGTACTCAGAATGGCCAGCTAACTTATCAACCTAAGTTTATATATTGTAAGTTTTAGATGACAAATTTCGTTAATGGCTTAGAAACTAATGTAAGATTAAATAAAATAATTACAGTGAACAATTGTGGTTTCAATAAATTCTTCTTCAGGTTCTCTCTACAATTATTTATTCCACTAATTTAAGCATACAATAGCTAACCAGTAAAGGCAAATTAGAATCATATCAGAAATTGTATTGTGGAACAAGTTATTTACCACGTTCCTCGTAATCTATCTAGAGGAGCTCGACTACGTCTTCTATCAGTAGCTAAAGCTGTTGCAATCAATACCAGAAGACCAACTCTTTGTATACAGAAGAAGTATGTTCAACCACTATGTTTACCTTGACCTACAATAAGGCTAACAAATCCTCCATAAACATTAGCACTTTAAATTTCTCTCACAATTTTCTTTTCTTCTTCTTCTCTATTCCTCTGTCTCATTGACAAACGTTCATTTTCGACTTTTGTGATTTCATTACCTTAGGTTTAGGAATGCTTTTCTAACTTGTTGTCGTATTTACAAAATCCTGCTCATTTCACTTCACTAAATTCATTATTGTTATTATTTGACAATCATTCACCAATAGTACTTTTATGTTTACACCATATCATCGTTATTATTATTTTACAATCATTATTATTGTCGTTATTTTCAACCTTGAACTTATGTCTAGTCCACCTCATTCGTTGGTTTATTTTCTGTAGTATTCATATTGTCTCACACACTACTGATTACACTCACCCCCGAAACCTGTATTTTTGTTGACCATATATATATATATACATTAAATTATTTCACCTCATTTTATCTCATGTTCCACAATACACTTTCTGATATGAGTCTAATTTGCCTATACTAGCTGGCTATTGTATGCTTAAATGACTGGATTTATAATTATGGATACAGCTTGAAGAAGAATTTATTGAAACCACAATTTCATCATGAGCTGACATTAGTTAGAGAACTATTGGAAAACCTGGGAGGACTGGACAGTTGTTTCGTCCCAGTGTGGGACTCTTCACAGTACGCACCCACCGGGATTCGAACTTAAGACTTTCAGGTTACAAGGCGAGCTCGTATACTATTAAGCCATTTAGCTAAAGTTTGATTCGTACACTTTTAGGAAGACTGCTTCGTATTCTGTAGACGGCTTTGAAGTTTGTTTGGGGTGTAGCTCGGTGTCCGGAAACTATCAGATGATCTAAGATATTATTCTCACATATTCCCACAGTTCAATACTGCGTTAAAAAAAGAATACTACATGTATATTTGAACCTTCTATTTCATGTCATTTAATGTAAGCCAAAATCACACGCTCAGTGATTGGTTAACAAATATAAACTGTATATATATATATATATATATACAGCTGTTCGTTCAATGCAAAATATACCTTGGCTTCCATGTCTTGCCTTCTGATGTTACATTTGGTGCTACTGCCTGCCGACAGATGGAAAGCCTATGCCCTGCAGTCTTTGGAAGAGACTTATGGATTTTCTGGCAGGACTTCGAGGCTGTTGGGCAGTTGAATGGCATTCAGTATCCGTCAGCGATGAGGCTGTTACTTGGAACGCTGCTGGTAAGTCGGACGACCGCAGCACATGATAGTGTGAGGTAAAACACACGGCAAATACGCTCCAGGGTTATGCAAACTGCTTCCAAAGTGGTAAGAACCACGTACATACGATCAGAATTGCAAACGGAGAGAAGCGGATGAACATAAGTGAGCTCCTCAACTCGATACAGCAAGACAAGCAAACAAAGCTGCCAGCACCAAGAAGACCCAACCGACTACAGTCGGAATTCATGTATGAGAGAACTTTAATTCTTTTAATTTTTTTGAAATATTATTTCACAGTATTGACCGCTTTATTATTATTATTTTCTTTAAAAATTCCTCTACAGAAAGCCTATAATGCAACTGCTGTTCTACACTTATTACGTCGCCTTCAATTAAACAAGAGTAATTCAACAATGAAAAAATCCACAGGTTCTGCAGATTCACTGACCAATTTCACCTTCGATGATGATAAACTGACACAAATCCAATGTAATGATGAACAAGAGAATTTAGACAGTGCTGTTGTTGTTGCTAATGAAAAACAAGGTAAAAAAACACCATCAAAACTGCAAACATCTTGTTCCTCACCATCATCATTTTCACCGTCATCATCATCATCATCAACATCGACATCGACATCAACATCAACAGCAACAGTAAGATCAACATTGTCCTCCACAACGGTAGCAGGAGTATCAATACAAGCTAACAATACTTCATTGACGTCAGCTCCGTTGAACACGTTGGAAGATAAACTTATAACTACGAATGATGATAATAATAATAGTAATGAAAAGAGTGATTAGAATGACGTAATACGTTTTCTTACTTGTAAAAAGCATTGCAAGTAGAGCTTTAACAAATCCTGTTTCATATTCACTCACTCACTCACTAACTCACGCATTCATTCAAAACAGAACAAATACACATTCTTCTTCACTGTGTAAATAGAATCACTCATATTAATAATAATAATAATAATAATAATCATGATGTGACATCTGTCGATTATTCAATGAAACTGTGTTTTCTTTTTCCTCTCAATTTATTGATTGATCACCATTTGTTGTTTGCCTCATTTCATTCTTTCCCCACCACCAGCGCCACAACTGCCGCCGCTGTCTCCACTGCCACCCCGGCCTGCTTCCTCTCTGCCCCTCTCTTGTATTACACAACACAACATAAACAGACACATATTATGTTTGTATTCACAGCCTATAAATCATTTCTGCATGACTGTAAAATGACTTTTGAAGGATCGGCAATGGTAGTGGTGTCGGTGGGTGGAGGGAGGCAGTTAAAGCGGAGATATTCTGACTTCTGTTCCTCTCCAGCCTTTCTTTCTGTTTTTCTCTCTTTCTCTCTCTAAGTCTGTTTGTTAATTTTTTCCTTTTGGATTCCTCTTGAGAAAGCAAAAAAACCAAATCCAGAGGGACATAATGTTGTTGGGGTAACAAAACGAAAGCAAAACACCGATCATAAACATGAAATGGAAGACATAATAATGAAGAGAGAGAGAGTGTGTGAAACAGGTGAAGATTCATTCACCTCTCCTGTTTTTGTGTTTTGCAATTTTTCGATGCATAAAAAATGTATTTGATGTCATTTTCTTTCCCTTTGTTCGTTTGTCTGTTGTTCGTTTGCTTGATTCGATTATAATGTATCTGCTGCTTTGAGCTAATAATACGACGGCATAGATAGAACGGTTCATTGATGATTGATCGATTGATCACCTCCCACTGAAAAAAGAAGCGTTCCAGTACGAAAGAAAATAGCTATTTCCCTCTATATTTATTGTTTTTTGTGTTACTGAATGAATTGAAATGGCTTGTTGTTTCGTATTCTTCCTCTTCTCTTCTCTTCGCCTCGCCTCGCCTCCACCCCAACCCTCTATAACCGCCCACTTTCCTTCGCTATTTTACACTCTACTCATTTTGAGTAAAGTATGCTGTTGAGTTTGACAGATTTAAGGCATTTATATTTTTTCCAATGAGTGTTGTTCCTCTTTCAATTTTGTTTTTGTTTTCTCCTGTTTTCCTTTTTGCATTTATTTTCACTGTTTATTGTGTATTCTTGCTAGTTTTCCTTTCTTTGACATTGAATGACAAGATGAACACTATTCTTCCCTCTTCCGACTTTTCGTTCTTCTACTTCTTCATAACTGTTTATTGCTGATAACCACCTATTGGTTCCTTTTGTTTGTTTGTTTGTTTTCCCCTCGTCGTATTTATTCTATATCGATTTGTTTGTTTGTTTCCGTTTTGTTGAGAGTTGTTTCACACATTTTCATCTTGCCCGCTCATCATCTTCTTCTTTTTTCAGTTTTTAGGTTGTTTTTTATTCTGTCTTCTTGTCAATGAGTGAATGAATTAATGAATAAAGCGATTTGTTTGTTTCGCTTTTATGACAGTTGATGGAAATACTGATGGATAAATTGAAATAATAATAATAAGAATTTAAAAAAAGTTGAATTTTGATGCTTATTCATTCCGACAATATCTATTCGTTTGATTGAGCACTAACTAGTGAGTAAGTAATATGTAATATGTCTGTCAGCATGATACCTAGGTCCAGGCAAGGCTTCCTACCGATTGCCTCCAATCATCTAATATCCACAATTCAAAAAGAAGGCACCATGATGGCGAACTGCGCAGAATGGTGTACAATACAGTCCTACAGGAGGTCAGTCGCGAACTGGAATAGCTCAGTGGTAACTTCTCTGACTTCAGGTGGCACTCAGTGACTCTAGTTCGAATCTCAGAGGAGACATGAGTTTCTTCACGATTGCAGATACGCCTTGTTGACTGTTGAGTGCCAAGAAACATGAGACCTAGGTGGAAGGCTTCCAGCCGATTGCCTTCAACCATCTAATATCTATTCGTTTGTATTTTGTGTTTTTCCTGTTCAACACAGTGTGTGTGTGCGTATATGTGTGTAAGATATGATAATCGTCGTGAAAGACTCTCTGCTTGACAGCTAACTATAACTGATTAAAGATGTTCGTTAAAAATTGTAAAGGACTGAATATAGTCAACAAAGAATATTTTTTTTCGATAAACTCTTCTTCAACAGGTTCTACATTTATTTGTCCATAATAATTGGAGAATTCTTGTTATTGGTTGGAGGATTTCATCATGAGCTGACATCAGTTAGAGAACCATTGGAAAACCAGTTGTGAGTACTGAACAGCCAGTTGTTTCGTCAGACTAGTTTGGGACTCTTCATCAGTACGCACCCACCACTACAATTCGAACCCAAGACCTTCTGGTTACAAGGCTAGCGAGCTCGTAGACGGTTGTTAAGCCACTGGGATGCGATCCAGGTCAGCCCATGAATTCTAACTTCTGCCAATTCACGACATAGCGCGACCACTTCGCAATGTCTTCTTCGATGAGTTACTGCCTCACCTTCAACCTGCTGCACCCTACTGGTCTATGAGCTTGCCTAGTAACCAGAAGGTCCTCGGTTCGAACCCAGCATTGTAGGTGCGTACTGCTGAAGATTCTCACATTAGGATGGAGGAAACAGCTGTCCAGTACTCCTAGTTGGTTTTCCAATGGTTCTCTTACTGGTGTCAGCTCATGATGAAATCCTGTAACCAATCATCAGTCAAATCCCTACAAACCAATTACTTGATTAACAACTATATTTGTGACAACTCATCACTTTTGTTTTTACCCTGTTTCAACTCGTAAAAACAAAACTAATCCTTACAAACCAACTATTGAAAATTAATCTGATGCTCACTAGTGACTTGCTACAGGATGGAGTTTCCTGGAGTTCTAGTGAGAAGTCGTGACCAGTGAGGTCCATCCAGTCGGGAGTGAGGATGGATTTCCCACCGATGACATTGGTTGGTGGTCGCGCTAAAACAGATCACGAATTGGTAGAAGTTAGAATTCATGGGCTGGCCACTGAATCGGGTCCCAGTGGCTGAGTGGTATACGAGCCAGCCTGCCAGAAGGTCCTGGGTTCGAACCCTGTCAGTGGGTGCGTACTGTCGATGATTCCCAAACCAGGACGAAGGAAACAGCTGTCTGGCAGTACTCCAGTGCTAGTTTTCAATGGTTCTCTAACTGATATCAATCCGTGATCAACTCGTAAAAATAAAATGTATATTAATGCAACTGTACAGCCAAATGGGAAAATGAATTCACTGAGAAAAGCTTCCCTCTCTGAACTACCTGTTTTATTAGAAAAGCTCAAACAAAAATACGCCAAGCAGTATAAATGAGAATGATGACGATAAAAATGAAAATATCAGAAATACAGAGTCTAATTTCTCAATCTGAGTCTCATAAACCTTCATCTACTTTACATAAAGCCTAGGGAAGAAAAACGATAATCTAGGCTGTCATTGAATACCACTTGTAACGACGTCGCTGCAGTATAAATAATCATAATAGACTACCTACTCATTACGCCATGTCATAGAAAAGATTGAGTTCTTGATTTGTAGTGTAGTGTAAATGTCTCTAGACATGCAATAATTATTGTGTATTATTATTATCATCATGTATGACTATATTCTCTTAAGCCGATATGAGGAAAGGGAGAGGGAAATCTATTTCTTTATGTCTGGAATGATAATAATGAATAATGGCAAAATTATACCTTGAAATAAAGAATCTACAATGTTTTGCAATTATTTTTTTTTGTGAGGAGTGAACATGCAAGCATTTGGGATATAATATATCATCAGTATATTCTATGGGAAGCAGGAAATGAATGAAGCAATTAGTAATGCTTTCAAACAAGAAATAGGCTATATCCTTTAATATAGTAGGTGATTGTTAGTGGTAGAATGGAAGCCCTGAGAACAGAGAACTGGCATTTATTGATGGTCATGTGCAAAGATGTATCTCCAACCTCGATGAGATTGATCTGCTGCACGTGTAGTTAAAACGATGCTGCCCAGGTGATTTATATGAAAGAAACGATTCATGAGCTATTGGATTGAGTCCCAGTGGCTTAATTGTCTACGAGCTCGCTATCCTTGTAAGCAGAAGGTCCTGGGTTCGAACCTTGGTGGTGATTGAGTACTGATGAAGAGTCTCAAACTATTCTGACGAAACAGCTGGCTGTCCAGTACTCCCAGTTGGTTTTCTAGTGGTTCTCTAGCTGATGTCAGCTCATGATGAAATCCCTACAAACCAATACTTGAAACGATTTCCGTTAGATTTTTAGGACTGATGGTGATCGGTGCATATTGTGGTTTATTGGTTACCTTCATCAACTTTGTCTTTTCTGTGTTCACCTAGAGTCCTAACTTCTCTGCCTACTTCTTCTGCCAACTCTTCGGTTTCCTCTGGTGAGTCTTCTAGTTTGTATGTGGGACATAAATCATCCGCGAAGTCCAGGTCTTCTGGGGGTCCTTTTATCACTGCGACGTGTGCCTGCCTTCTCACTTGCCACGAACTGTCTAATGATCCAGTGAACCATAACGAGGAATATTATAGTTGATACTAGTCAGACTTATCTTACTTCTATCTTCACTTCAAAGCCGAAGAATTTGAGATGAAGGGTTGACTGTCATTCTAGGCGATGTTCGATGATAATGCGTAATGTTGCAATTCGGCCAGCACATGAATTGTTTAGCATGAATTCAGCTTGTTTTGGACATAGTTTTTCATTCAAAGTATCTGGGATGATGAGGCTTTATATTTGGCTTGGGGTGGACAGGGGGATGATTTTGCATCAGTACTCGCCCTTCTTTTGCGGCCTAACAAGGTACTATTTCTTCTTCCAGAAGGAAGGTGCCTTCCCTTCCTCCCATACTTTCTGCAGTAGTGGGGTGCGCTTGTCTGCAAAAATCTCTCTTTGGTACGCTTTCTGTGATTCCTAGCGGATACCATCTGTTTTCCCTGCTTTCCTGGCTTTAGTAATTAATGCTTCATTCTGATTTAGTCAGAGGGTTGATATTCACTGGCAAATCTGTGATTGCTGGTGATATATCTGAGCACGTTGTTAATAGTGATCGATAGGAGTCCTAACCTTGAATGTTCCTTGCACTGGATGGTGATTTGATCTGCTCCTGTTCTCTATTTTGGGTCCAGTAGGCTGCGTCTCCACTTTCTTGAGATTGGGATTAAATTTATCTGATTTTTAGTGTGTCTATCTGGTGAACTCTCTGTCGCCTTAAGGATATCCTTTAGCTTGCACATGCTGCCTTCGATCACGAATCCATCGCAAAAGTCTGCAAAGATCTCTCATTCATTTCACTGAGCGCGAGTCTCGACCTATGATGAGTTTCTATCCTGTGTTGTTTGATGTCACCATCTAGTTGGCATTCTGTCCGTTACTGTTTGTAGTTGTCTGTAGAAGTTCACATCCTTTACAAGTGGGTCTGCGATGTTTATAGCCTTGAGCGTAATATTATAAAACTGTAACTTTCATTCACTTCCAGTTAAATCTTTCTATGTCACTTTGAAATGAAATTCTACTTCTAGTGAGATATAAATAATACTTACCAAGCTGTACAAGTAATTTAAATGAAACATGTAAACTGTGCCATTATTATTATTCCCTTGGATTCAGAGTGGAACATAGGTCTTAAACACCACATCTCCACGTTGTCCACTTCACTGGAATCCTCTTCATCTGGCCCCAAGATCCTCCATAGGCCTTAACCTCCCCTTCACACGATCTCCTGCACGTCACCCTCGGAATATTTGTTTAGCAGTAGGTTCTTGGTTGGTTCGTTGGATGCCAGAGTTACTTTCTGCTAATCACTTACGGATATCCATCTGATATTCAGTATAAAGGCAGCGAAGGTAGTTGTTCATAATAATCTGAGGCAGGCTGTTGGAAATCCTTTTCGTCATGCACTCACCAAGTTTCTGATCCATATAGAAGAACTGATCTAACTTTAGTGTTGAAAATCCTAATTTTGTTGTTTATACTGAGTTAGTGCAGAAGATTTCCGCACTGATTTTAGAGTGATGAGGGTCTCTCTTGACTTTCCGATTCTGTTTTTGATATCCACATCTATGCGACCCGGCTGTAGCTGAAACGATGCTGTTAAGATAAGGAAAGGAAGCGACCTCTTTCAAATTTCTGATGTCGACATTGGCTGATGCTTTTTGTTGTTGGTTGAATATCTTCATCATCTCTGTCTTCTCTGTGTTCACTTGAAGCTTTTTCTCCTCTGTCTGGCCCTTCTTCTAACTTGTTGGTTTTTGTATGTAAGTCTTTGATTCTGTATGACGATAGGCATAAATCGTCCGCTAAGTTTAAGTCTTCTAGAGTGTTCTTTTCGGTCCAACGTATTCCTATCTACTAGCTCGTCATGTACAGTCTAACACATAATCTAACGCAATAGAAATAGGAATAGTAAGCAAGCTTGCCTAAATCCTGTCTTCATTTCAAAGGCTTCTTCTCTGAGTTTTCCGCTGTGGATCACTTGACATTTGGGATTGTCATATAGACGTCGAATGTGGTTGACAAAGATTAGG